ACTAAGAGAAAAAAATAATAATAACTTGATCATTTCAATAGATGTAGAGAAAGCATTTGGTAAAAATTAACACTCACTCACAACAAAAATTCAGCAAATGAAATAAAAGGGAACTTCCTTAATCTGATGAAAGATATCTACAACCCCGACCCCCAACAAATACAGAAATTTTAGCGATGAACTATTAACACTTCCCTGAAATTCTATCACCTTTTCACTTCAGCAGCATGTTGGGGGTCCTAACCAGTCAATAAAGGGGAGGGTGGGGGATGGAGGCTTTGAAAATGGTATCATTGTATAGTATATGCAGAAATTCCAAAAATAGTCACAGGTAGATTATTAGAACTAGTAAGTGAATTTACCAAGATCACAGGAAAAACAAGTCAAAACACAAAAATCAGGGGCCGGACCCATGGCACAGTGGTTAAGTCCGGCGTGCTATATTTCAGCAGTCCAGGTTCACAGATTCGAATCTCAGGCACAGACCTATACCACTCGTGAGCCACGCTGTGGCAGTGACCCACATACAAAATAGAGAAAGACTGGCACAGATGTTAGCTCAGGGGTAATCTTCCTCAAAACAAGAACAAAGAGAAAGATTGGCAACAGATGTTACCTCAGAGTGAACCTTCCTTATGAAAAAAACAAACAAAAATCAAATATATTTGTATATATAAAAAAACAGAAAATAAAATCTTAAAAGTGGTACCATTTATAGCAACAAAATCAAATACCTAAAAAGAAAGCAAAAATGTATAAAATGTTATAGAAAAGTACAAAACATAAGCAAGAAACATTTCTAAAGACTCAAATAAATGAAGAAACATACCTTATTCATAAACTAGAAGATTCTATAGTAAGTACATCAGTTCTCCCCAAATTAATCTATAAAGTCAATGCAATCCCATTCAAAACCCCTGCAGGTTCTTTGCAGAAACTGACAAGTTCATTCTAATATTTAAACAGATTACAAATGGCAAGCTAGGGCAATCTTGGAAGAGAACAAAGCTGGGAGAATTACACTACCAGATGTCAGTACTTATGTTAAAGCTACAGTAATTAAAACAGCGTAACACTCACACAAGGATAAACAAAGGGACAAATGAACTGAAAAAGAGTCAAGAAATACAGAGATAGAGTCACTGATTTAGGACAAAGATAACCCTGCAGTAGAGTGGGGTGAAGAGGACTTTTCCAAAAAGGAAAAAAACTAATCTTGACCTCTACTTCACACCATGCACAAAAATAATTTCCAGGTAGCTTGTAGATCTAAATGTGAAAAGTTAAAAAACTAAGCTTTTAAAAGAAAACACTGGAAGATACCTTCATGACCTTAGGGTAGACAAAAATTTCAAACAGTTCAAAAAAATGCTAACAATCAAGAAAAAAGCAGTAAATTGGACTACATTAAAATTAACTTCTATTTGTCAAAAGATACTATTAAGAAATTTAAAAAGCAACCCACATATATAAAATATATACACATGTGCATATGTGTATGTGTGTATGTATATACATAAAAAACTTATATCCAAAATACATGAAGGATTTTTACAAACCAATAAGAAAAAATACATACAGCCCAATAATAGGCACTTTACAAAAGAGGATATCCCAATGGCAAATAAACATATGTGAAGGTGTCTAACAAGTGGTTATCACAAAGCACAAGACAAAACTCTCAATGCAAACTATGACACTCCCACCAGAAAAGCAAAAATGCAAAATACAGACAACACCAAGAGTTGACTAGAAAGTGGCTTGTCTGGAATGCTCGCTTATGGCCAGTGGGAGTGTAAACTGGTACAACCACTTTGGAAAACTGAAGGCATCTAAAGCTATATATATAAGCACACCCTATAATCCAAGGATTCCTCTCCTACGTGTTTTACCAAGAGAAATGCATAAATGTTCACCAAAAAACATGTAGCAAAATTTTCACAGCAGTAGCAGAGCCAAACACTGGAAACAACGTAAATGCCATCAACAGCAGGATAAAGTAAGCTGCAATATATTCACACAAAGATATATCACATAACAAGAAGAATGAAGAAACTACAACTTACAAATACACAACAGTGATTCAAAGAAGCCAAACATTAATACAGCACATTTATAATTTTACTTATATGGTGTTCAAGAATAGGCAAAACTAATCTACACCAATAGAAATCAGAACAGTGGTCAGGCCTCTGGGTTGGGGGTGAGAGAATGATTGAAAAGCAGAGGAAAAATTTGGGGGTGGTGGAAACACTCCATATCATAACCTGGATGATTGTGAACCAAGTGTACATATTTTCAAAATTCCCCGTGCTGTATGCAAAAGATTTGTGCATTTTATTGTATTTAAATTATACCTCAACAAAACAGTGTTAGTATTTAAACAAAAGAAACAGCCTGAATTCTAGACAAGTGCTATGCAAAGTGGTCCATGCACAAACTGTTAGGGTCCCCAACATGATAAGGGGCTCACACCACAATGTATATCAGCACCCTGCTTTCCTCAAAGAGAAAGTCCTGCTATGAAAACGTCAGCTGAACTAAATCGGGCTGAAGTGAACTGTGACAGCAGTGACACTGCTGACTGACATGCTAGGGAAACCTCCTTATCTTGACCCCGACTGGAATGAGCACTGTTGTAAAGGCCACAGTGGGTGAGACAGAGGACGTGGGGTCAGGAAATGCCCCTGGTGAGAGGCAATGGAGGAACCATGAGAAATGAGAATACCCTAAAGTTCTTTCTGGGCTAAGTTAGATACTAATTTAAACTACTTTAGAGAAAAAAAAAAAAAAGGAGAAAGAAGAAACAGAAAAAGCAAGGCAATTTAAATAAAAATAGTAAGATGGCAGAGTAAAGTCCAAGTATATTAATAAATGCCAACATAGAGGACTATAGTCACCAGTTAAAAGAAAAAGACAGATCGTATTTAAAAAAATAAAAACCTATTTGCTATCAAAAAGGCTGACAGTAAAAGGATGGAAAATATGTTAATAAAACTGATAGGGGGCTGGACCTGTGGCCGAGTGGTTAAGTTCATGCACTCCGCTTCACAGCCCAGGGTTCTGCTGGTTCGGATCCTGGGCGTGGACATGGCACCACTTGTCAGGCCATGCTGAGGCGGCACCCCACATGCCACAACTAGAAGGACCTGCAACTAGAAGATACCACTATGTACTGGAGGGATTTGGGGAGAAGACGATAAAAAAAAAAAAAAGAAGATTGGCAACAGACGTTAGCTCAGGTGCCGATCTATAAAAAAAAAACAAACTGATAAATATACTAATATCTGAAAAAAGGGGCTTAAGACAAAAAATGTAACCGGGGATAGGACCATTAAATAATAACTAAAAATCCAATTCACCAAGAAAACAATTCTAAACAGGTACACACCTAATAAAACAAACTTAAAATATAAAAAGCAAAAAATGATAGAATTTCAAAGCAAAAATGGTAAATTCATTATCACATCTTCTACTCTTTTCAACTTTTGCCATCAATTCTCCATCCTTTCTCAGACTGTCTCCCTCTTAGCTCAGGTGACAATCACACAGAGACATCACCTTATTCCAAAGCACAGAATGAATATTTTTGTTGCCTCCCATCCTATACACACAAGCCTAATCCAGGTGCATAGCCAACTCTCTTAGAGACTATTTTGTCATTAAGTCACAGGAACAGTGAACTGAAGATGGTGAACCTCCGAGAAATGTCAGGTTCTAAGTGGCTTACTGCTGCCATCTGCCGGACACAGTGTTCATTTACACTTCAATTAGATTTGCTTAAAAGTCCCAGTAAGAGAGCACATAAGGCCCTGAACAGTACTCTTTCCTGAACTTCCTTTCTCTAATGAGACAGACACACTCTCTCTAAATTAAATGTGTGTCCTGTCTTTGTCCATGCAACTTAACAAGCCTCTGGTAGTGATATTTATTTTTTCCAAGTCATAGGTTTATATGAGTGTAAAAAACTACATTGCCTGAAATTCACCTAGAATTAATATATCCACAAAGACTACCAATTTTCCCATACCACTAGTGGAAAATCATATTTTATATACTAAGTCATTACAATGAGTCACTTTAAACACACCAACTACACTTTACTCATACAGCATACTGTCCACATGACCTGCAGTGTTTCTTACAACAGGCAAGTACAAATACGAGGTAGGTCTTCTGGTGCCCATTCACAGCCGGCTCCCTCACAGGAACATCACTCTTCCTGCCCCCTTAGGACATAAGATTAGTCCAGGCCAAGAGGCTGTGAATGAAACTGCAATGTGCCACCTGCAGGTCAACTCCAGTAAGTGCACGTGTGAGACCCCGCAGCACGCCCTTCCTCTACCACGGCGACAAAACAGGCCTCAAAGGGAGACCCGGAAGCTCTAAGATCAGAGCAGCTTAGAACACTGAAGACAGCTGCCTAGAGAACTGCCCAGACCTGCAAAAGACTTTGTAGGAGTAAAAAGTAAACTTTTATTGCATTGAGCCACTGCGAGCAGGAACATGAGTCATCTCAGCACAGCACAGCCCAGGGTTTTTCTACAGCGGTACCAACATCCTGGCCTGGACACTTCTTTGTTGTGAGTGCCATCCTGTGCATTGTCGGATGTTAAGCAGCATTCCAGGTGTCTACTCACTAGTGGCCAGGAGCACCCCTGAATTTGACAATCAAAAATGCTTCCAGACATTGCCCTCCTCCTCCACTTTGAGAACCATTTTGAGCTTAAGCTGAACAACACAGTATGTCTACAGGTATATATGTACGTATTATGAATACGTGTACATGAGAGCATATTTAACTCGTGTCATATGACACAAATATATACTTTATTATGTATTAAGATCAGATGTTTACAGACCCTTAACAGAGAGAAATTCTCATTTCTCAAACTAGGAGAGTTAATTCCAAAACTTAAAAAAAAAATCCAGTCACTGTCACAAGTCTCTATAGTAAGGTAAACAAACTGTTCCAAAAGGGTATATAAATTCATACATACTATGCTGTTCATTTCAGAGGACTCATAGCTGCCAACCGGATGGACGTTTCCAATGGGCTCCAAGCCCTCTTCGTCCCACATGTACGTCCCATCAGAGCTATCCGAGGGAGAGAGTTCAAACGAAGAACCAGCTCTGTAATCTGCATCTGGTGAAATCAAGTTATCCCCAGAAGGATGTTTTGTACATTCACTCCTGTCTTCAATTGATTTTTTTAAAAGAGAGGAAAAAAAGTTATTAATCCACAAAAATACAATTATTTCTCATGTTCTAAAAATATAAGCTCTAATATATATTATAGCAAGAGTCGGCAAAAAAAGCATTCATAACTATAGTATTTTCTAAATCCTAAACAATAAAAAAAGAAAATCAAGAGGCAAAATCTTAAAAATAACCTACTGAAATGTTTCCCAATGAACACAAAGAAAATTCACTCAGCCACCTTTCACTGTGCAACATTTCTAGACATGTAAATAATCCCTCATATTCTTTTAATATTTCCTAAAGACAGTGACTTTTAAGAAATGGCCGGGAAACTCCTTATTCCATGTACGTCATTTAACCTTGAAGTTGTCTCCTTTATAAGGAAAGACTTGCCCCAGCAGTCGCTCCTCACTAGACGACCCTCCGAGAGTGAGGGTTTATGCACACCCCTAGGCACAGCCTAGTCTCTTGACCAGACCACATGCCTGTACCCAACGCCTTCAGTCTTTTTTTTTCAGGCTATCTGGGCAGACAGATACATTTTCTCCAGCATTTAGTGCCAGGATAACCAAGTAGAAGAGGAAATGTTTAACAGGTGCTATTTCAATTTCCTCAACTGGAAAAAAAAATAAGAAAGCTCCTCTGAAAGTACAAATATAAAGTTTGCTAAATAAGAAATCTAATCCTCCTGTAAAAAAAATGAAAATTTCCTAGAATAAAAAAATTCAGGTGGCATAGGGATTAAGTTCACACGCTCCACTTCGGTGGCATGGGGTTTGCAGGTTCAGATCCCAGGCACAGACCTATACACTGCTTGTCAAGCCATGCTGTGGTGGCATCCCACATACAAAATAGAGGAAGACTAGCATAGATGTTAGCTCAATGACAATCTTCCCCAGCAAAAAAGAGGAAGATTGGCAACAGATATTAGCTCAGGGCCAATCTTCCTCACCAAAAAAAATAATCATCATCATTACATTGGACATAACCTATATTAGCTCCTTTATCCTTTGGTACACCTTCACGTTTAACAAATAGCAATGATCTACTACCCTAAGGGAAGAGGTGGTTTAAAACGGCATGCCAGTGGTTGGGGGAGGCGGGGAAAAAATAATTTTGACGCAAGCAGAAATAGGCCTGTGTATGACAATCAAAGAACAAAGGTAAGATACCTTAGGGGAGGGTGTTTTTATTGATGATGTTTTAGATAAGAGTGAAAAACAGGACAGGAACAAAAGAAAAAAAGGGAGAAAAGACAGCCCCACTCCAATTTTTCTAGATCCATCTCTCCATGAAATTGATAGTATCTTGGAATTAATGAGAAAATAATCCTAGATGTAAGTTCAGTTATATTATCTAAGAGAAAGCAAACAAACTTAAGGATATTAATATTTACCAGAGACACTTAAATCTATCCACTCATCAGTTTTACTGAAGGATTTTTCATTTTCCTTGGGGGAATCAAATACATCCTTCGATGGTACATTTTCATGCTTTTCTTCTTTGAGAGAAATTTCCTCCGGAGTTATTCTAGTTCTATTGGAGTCTTCTATATCTATAAAATCATCACTAAAGTCTTCACTTAAATCATTCTTATCAGAAGATGACAGAGAAGACAAGGAAATGTCATCCACATCATCACTCAGGAATCTAGTTTTAGCATCACGCTTCATGGTCTGGTCATTTTCTGTTCTATAACTATCATTTTCAATCAGCGCTTGGTCCTTAGCAGCAGCTCTGTCCTTGGCCAAAAGTGCAGCATCTTCCTCTACACATGTGTCAGCAGGTGAATTTTTATTACCATCAACGGTGATAGTCCCAGAAAACGGAGGTCGGCTAGATTTCAGTAGAGAGGGATGAACCACCCGATAACCCAAAGTGGAAGTTACCCCTGGGCCGTTTGGTAAAGCCACCTTCTTTCCCGCAGCTGCATAAGGCCTGTTAAACCCATAGCCTAAACGCTCATTCGCATTGAGTACTTCCGACTGCCGGGAATTTCTAGTTAGCATGCTCGCCCTCAGAGGCACCCTGATGGGTAGCTGTTGGTTCTGATAAGGCTTTGGGAGATCTGCAGCTCTGTTGAAGGAATGTGATCTGGTGAGAGATGACGGTGGGAGGAATGGATTCTGGATGGAATGTGAAAAGCTCTGTGACCTTACCATTTTCTCACACGTAAGAGACTTAGCATTGTCTGGGGACTGTGCTAAACTCTCCCCAGAACTGCTCCTGGTGGCACAGGAGTTTGCTCTCGGCCTTTGTATGCCACCAGCTGATCGGTTCCCATAAAACCCATTCAACTGCGATTTTGGCGCACTGACTGAAGAATAGGAAGTCCTTCCTAATAATTTGCCTTTGGTGAATTTACCCAAATTAGATGCTCCAGACAAAGTCTTTTGGTTTAACTCCTCTGTAGATGACACAAACATGGTGGATGGCTTTGCTAACTTCGATGTGAGTAAAGAAACACTTTTCAGACCTCCCTTTATCCCATTTTTATCAAACATTCCTTGGGTAGGTGCGTGTTTTTCAGGATCAATTACTTTATCGTGTGAACTCTGAGAATTGTCAGGCTCTTCAGCACTCTGTGCACTGAGTTGGTATTTACTGGCCATTCTCCAATTAAATGAATGGGATGATGGACAAGCAGAGCCATTATTTTTGATGTAACTTTTGACATTGCCATTCCTGGAAGTTCCCAATAAATTAACAGGTGCCCCATTTGGCATTGGCTGCAGTGTACTTCTTACAGATTTTGTTCCGTACTTTGGCAACTTGGAACCCAAAAACGTCTTGATTTGTGTTTTTTCTTCCATGAGCTATAAGGTGCATTTGCTCTTAAAATCTTTGAAAGAATCTGAGGAGACAAAAAAGTAAATTAAACACTCCTAAATAAGAATAATTACATGGATTACTACATAATATGAATGTATATTCTTATACAATTAAATGCAGCAAAGCCCAAAAGCTACTCATGACTCTTTAGAACTGTTAATAAATATCAAATGCACTAATTGAATCAATAGCTTTCATGTTAAAAGAAAATGAAGAACATTTTTATAACACTTTTATAAACTTAGGCTATAGATAATGATAGCAAAATGTAGAAATTATAAAGTTAGACTATCAAATTTGACTGTAAAAAAAATAACTCTCCTGCAGCACAGCTTCCAATTTCTAATCCAAATTATTTTTTCACTTTGGGTAATACTGTCTCTTTTAAAAATAAGAACACTCGAATTTGTTTTTTAAAGCACACATGATTTTATAAAAACAGGAATACATGCTTAAAACTTTCCTTATTAAAGTCACAGGAAGGATGTAGGTTAAGAATACAATTGCACCAAAACAAATCTTCGGCATTAAGGGCTGAGGTGTCAGCTGTCATTTTAAGCAACTATCTCAAAAGAATTTCCATCCAGTAATATAAACAGCCACTGCAGTTAACGCCAGGGTGAGAAGCATGAGAATTTAATAAAGTTGATTAGTCCATTAATTTCAACCTCTCAAATTTACTGTAAAGGTAATACAAAACAACAGCACAAAAAGGTTCAATACACACACAAGAGCATAAAACTGGAAACTAGTGTCCTCTATTTGAGGAACTGTTCAATAAATTATGATAGGTCATGTGGTGAGATTACAAAGATGATACAGAAATATTAAAATGTCTGTCCTACCATTAACAGAAATATAATATAGTATCTCACTATACACTCACTGTGATTATTTAAAAATTCCGTAAAAGCACACACAAGAAGAAAATGCAGATAAAAGAAAAAACATGCCTTAGAGTCATTAATGTTTTTTAAAATTATGTATCTTATGACACTGTCTTTAATGTGTTGGTTTTCTTTTTTTAATTAAAAAAAATGGATTCCAGGTCATCTCTGACCTTAAGAATTAAAGTTTCTAGAGTATATACATGTTATTACTTATGTCAAAAGTAAATATTTAGGAAATCATGCAGACTTTCAAGTAAAGATGGGGTGAAGCAGAGTTACAGAACGCCCCCTCCCCAGTAACTAATGAAAGGGACAGTATACACATACATATACATACATATGTATGGGACAGTATACACATACATATGTGTGTGTCTATGGATGGATTTTTAGCCAAAAGACCACCAGCTACACTCAAACAAGAAACTGTTCAAACTAGAAACTCTGGACTTTAAAATGCAGTAGCCAGAGGAAGATTCTGTACGGTGCGGTCTGGCTCCTAGCCTGATTACACTGCCTGGAAGCAGTAATGAGAAAAACAGATGAGTTAATAAAACTTGAAAATCTGAACGAACATTCTCGAGTTTGGAGAGAGATCTGATTTGGCACACCCTGGAAAAGTCCAGGAAAACAGCTGCAGCACAGAAGCTTCAAAATCTCAGCTGAGGCAGTGTAGCCACCAGAACCTGTCAACTTCCACAGCACCACTCTGAGTTCAGGGAAGGGTCTGAAGCCCCAAAGGCCGTACAACACCAGCAGCAGGACGGACCATGAAGGACACTTAAAATCTACGGAGAGAGGGGAGCCTGGGACCCTAGAGGAGACCTGCCCCCAACAGCGCCTCATGCCCTTCAACTAGAGAGAAGCAGAGAATAACACACTCCACTCAAAACGCGGACTGACAGGGTGCAATAAAGGAGGAGACAAGGTCACAGCTAAGGCGGGAAAGGCGTCAAGGAGAACTCACCCACGTCCTCTCAGGGCAAATACAAAGTCTTGACCAACTATCCAAGTCTTTACCTAGCAAGATAAAAAGAAATGACCCTGCAACTACATAAACACAGGAGTGAAAGGAAGGTGAGAAACAAATACAGTCACGTGTCTCTAGCAATGGGGATACTCTGAGAAATGTGTCATTAGGCCGTTGTGTCATTGTGAGAACATAAGAGAGTACACCTACACAAAGCTAGATGGTATAACCGACTACACACCTAGGCTGTATGGTACCAATCTCACGGGCCCACCATCATACATGCGGTCTGTCATCAACAAAACATCATTACGTGGTGCACAACTGCACTGACTATCGCACACAAAACAAAGGAAAGACCCAGCCTGAAAGAAAACACAACACAAGGAAAACAAGGAAATCCCCAGTGAGGTCTCTGTAACAGAGAACAACCTAAAAGGACATACATTTAATAAAATAAAAGCTCAAAGATAAAATGACAAAAGAGGTAAAATTGAAAAGTTATAGAACTAAGGAAACCAATGAAGAACAACAATGAACTTGAAAAAAAACAAGAAAAAGAACCAAAGACTGAAAACCAAACTAATGGGAAGGAGAAAAGATCTTGAGATAACTTGAGTACTGAGGAGAAAAAAGAAAACAAAGAGATCAAAGCAATTAGACAGAAGATGCAGGACAGAGATTGAACAGAAAGACCATTAATATCCCTGAAGTAGAAAAACCAAACAAATAGAAGAGAAAAAGCAGGCAGGCATAATAGAAAATATCCCCAAAATAAAGAAGGGGGAAAAAATCTACAGAAGGGAAGGGAAAACAACCTAAACTATAGATCCAAATACACACCAAGGTTAAGTTAATAAATATCAAGGATAAAGAAATAACTCTCCAACAATGCAGGCAGAAAAAAAAATCTCTCCGTAAAGAAAACTTTAAGAGTTTAGAGTAAGCTAAAGAGATGTCTGGACATCCTTCCAATGAAATGCTGGAGCCTCCAGGGATAATTTAATCCTAGAGGAATTATCATTCGGCTATTTTAAACTCTGTAAAGATAGAGGTTAGCATGCAGAAAACTAATGGTAAGTCAAACAATTCTTGTCTGCAGACATGCAAATAAATTCTGTCCAGTTCAGTTCAGCTCCCTCCACCGCTGGTGAAGAAGCCAGCCTGGTATCCATTTGCAAATGCACTTCAATATTCCCCATCTATAAATGTACCAGTTCTTTGCATTTGTGGCTATAACATCTCTCTGACTCATTAATAATTTATAAAATCTTTAACATGTGTTCATTTGATATCTGAATGGGACTCATGATTTTATTCTCTTCTAACATGTATCCTTTAACAGTTTTGGAGATTCCACCAAGATACCCAGTGGATGCACTAGACAGACAGACAGAGCTCGGTAATTTCTTTGCCAGCGTGGTACATCTCACAGGCGGCTGAGGCCCAAACACATCTTCACCTGTCTCCTACAAGTGAAACGAGAACAGCAACAGAACTTTGCTCTCTTTCTATTTTAACTTTCCTCTCTTCTAATATTGTTTTTGTTTTTAGTTTACTTATGGTCATTAAGTTATTCCCCACTGGTGGGAACAATGATTGAGAATCTATTCTGTGTTGGGTGAGAGAAAAAGAAGAATCTGATTCATTAGTCACTTGTTCATTTCTCTCTTTTGTTTATCTATTTTGAGCTCAGATCAATTAAAAATTTCACGCTGACCAGGAAGGAGAATAGCTCTTTGGGATCTGGACAGGTCAGGTTTTTGTTTCTGTGTTAACTCCATAGCCACGGCTGAGGCTGAAATTACAGAATTGGAAACAATCAGCTCTCTCAATGTCCATACGGCTGTGTGTCTAGTTCAGAACGGTCTTCACCTCTCACCATGAGGACATAATGCTTTCCCACTGTAGAGGGTGTTAACCAATTGGACTGTAAAGTCTCTTAAAGCAGCTCTGTTCTGATTGGCTTATAGAGATAAATATGTACTTATAAAAGCTGAATATTACCAAAACTCCCAGAATATAAGGAAATTGATCTTCTAATACTTTAAATGTGTTGTACTTTTTTAAAAGTTATTCTTACAGAAACTCAGAAAGGTTTTAAGAACCAAGTTCACATAATTAAGGTAAATGTCTGGCAAACAAAACTAGTTTAATAAAATACGTTTGCCTTCCGATTTTTTAATCAGTGTTAAATATAATATAAGCATACATTTTTATTCCATTAGAGTAACTTTGCTAAAACACATATAGGCTTACTGATCAAATAAGCAAATACTACTGATACACAATGTTTAAGATTACAAAAATGTAAACCTGTGTTTAAATTGATGATTATTCTGACCCACTTTTTACTGCAATAGTAATTATGTTTTATGGTATGTCAACTTACAGATAATTTCCAAGAACTTTAAAGGTAACTTAAAACCTAGGACTAATGTCAAATTGACTTAATTAATGGATAATCATTGGCTGGCTAGATCATTTCTAAGATAGAACACTAAAACGTTAATTACTAGCCATAATTTCAAGTTTATATGCTTTTGCTTCCTGTTATTGTATGCCACAGAAAGACTGTATCTTTGGGACACATAAATGAACTAGTTTATTTTTGCTACTTTGAAAAATTCTACACTGGATCCCATTTTTATAAAAGTAACACTATAGACAGACAGACAGATATAACATAAAGATGAATGTTGACCCACAACTAAAATATACAACTGTGTACTGGGGGATTTGGGGAGAAAAAGCAAAAAAATTTTAAAAGATGCATGTGCACATACACATTCACAAACAACAAACACAGTAGTTCCTATTAGGGAAGTGAAAATTAGGTGAACAGGAGACTTGCTTTCACCATTAAATCAGTACTGTTTAAATATTTTAAATATAACAATCTTTTTGCCATTTAAAAAGTTTTGACTAAAAAACTGCATTTTAAAAATAAAAACTATTCAATATCAAGACTCTTAATAGTTCAATCTAACCAAGAAAAATTCTTTAAAGTTTATTATATAAAATATACTTAAAAGATATAAAAATAGATGTTTCTACAAAAAACAATTTTTTTATTCAACAGATATTATTTCTTCATAAATTACCATTTCAATTTCTCCAGACCTCAACCTCAATTTAATGTTTCACTTATCAATTTTATAA